TAGTTAACACGCTAGACTGCTTACTAAAAGGTTGAGAGTTCAAGTCCATCCAGAGGTACCTAGGAAAAAGGCCTGGGCCTCGACTTCTCAAAATGCAGCCATTGAAAACTATACGGGGACAGTTTTGTTCACACACAGACACACACACGGGGTCCCCTGAGGCTGCCCCGACTCGATGTCAGCTGGTTTCACTTGGTCTCCTTGGTAGTGCGATGTTCTCATTAGCTCTGTGGGAAAGACCAGTATTGGTGGTAAGTTGGTTCCTGGTTATCCTCTGATGTCCGAATATTTTGGGGGCTTGTGATAAGATCTGTAATAGGGGTGGTGACTCAGGTATTGGTGGTATTTCTGATGCCAGAGCTTGTGACCTGAACCCCAATGCCACTAAACCCCCCTTTCTGCCTGCCTCCCTCCATTGTGGAGAAAGTGGGTGCTGCAAGTCCTGTCTATTTCTCAGTGTGTTTTGAAATTCAGAGGCAATAAGCGGCTGTGCCTTAGAAAAACTACCTGTAAAGTACAGTCTCACGCAAGGCGTTGGTGCCTTGACACGGAACACCAGCTGGTGTGCAAGCAGCTGTTGGCTCCAGTGGGCGGTGCGGCCGCTGTCCCAACGCATTTTCTGAATTCTTGAGATAGTAGAACAGTTACTTCCTGAAATAGCCATGAAAACAGGGCTGGACAGCATTCGCAGGCCGTCTCCTGGTTCGCACGACATAGCACAGGTCAGACAGAGGAGAGGATGGTGGTCCAGCTCCCTCGCCTGTAAAGGCAAAGGCAGAGGCCTCGCGCCCGGGGCGTGACAGTCAGGCCCAGAGGCAGGACAGAGATGTCCAGGTGCCACCCAGGAACATAGCGAGTTGTGTGAACATAGGGAGGGTCTGCGGCTGTAGCAATGGGGTGGGATCACCCTCTTAGTGGAGCCTCATAAACCCCTACTGTTCCAGGCCGGGTTTAGGTCCCTGGGGAAAGAGTGAAGACCAAGACAGACTTGGTGTGCTCGTGAGAATGTGCATTCTAGTTGGTAGGAGCTAGAGACCCACATAGAAGTGAAAGGATGGCTTGGGGAGCGTCAAAGGACGAAGGCAAGGAAGCAGGGAAGATGGGAGAGACGAGGGATGATTCTGGGGAGTGACGAGAGAAAGAAAGGGGAACACTAGATTGGACACTTGGGTGATGCGAAGGAGTGAGCAACTCGGAGAACTGTGAGGTTCAGAGACTACCAAATGCAAAGGTCCAGGGATAGGAGAAAGTGCGGCCTCTGCCGCCTCAACTCCCAAGTAGAAGGAAAACATCTGGAACTGAGGGGGTCTGAGGGAGGCAAAGGGGTAGCAGGCAAGTTGTGGTGACACTGGCAAAGACCAGATGCTTTGTGTAGAAATGTTTCATGGCTAAAGGCACATTTTTTTTAACAGATAAATGGTTTTATTATGCCCATTTATAAAGGCACATTTTGAGCAAGGGGGTTTTATTTGGTTAAATGTTTGTTGCTATTATCGCGGTAAATCCATATGCAACAGAACATTTGGTGACATTGATTACACTTATTATGCTGCTCAAACTTCTCTGATGCCCAGTTTCCCTGTCACCCTTACGGATTGTTGCAAAGCCTCAAAAGCAGGACTTCCTTTCCAGGATGGGTCTGATACGGGCTCTGAAGGGCCCAGGCCCAGCACAAGCACCTTCCTGATTGCTCTCTCTGTCACCTTCCTGCCCTGTAGCACTTTACCCATTGGGAGGAAGGGGAAGTGTCCAAGCTCACTCTACATGGCCTGGCTGGAGACCCTGTCCCAGGACCTCAGGCCTCCTGTCATCCTGATCCGAGGAAACCAAGAAAATGTGCTCACCTTTTACTGCCAGTAGCTGCAGGCCTGGCTGTCCCTGCCCGAGGCTGCAGGTGTGGGCCGAGCTGGGGCTCCCCAGCCCACTGGACGGAGCCCCGGGCGTGCTGGCATCTGATGAATTCCAGGCTCTGGCTGCACCCACACACCACATGTCCTCGAGGACTCACTTGTTTATGCACTGCAAAAGGATCAGATGAGGGTGCAGGAAAACTCTATTTCTTTCAAAAGCTTTCTTTGGCTCTTGATTACAATTGATGAAGATTTGTCTCTGATTTGTATGCAAATGCTAAGTGTGAAGTTTGGCAGTGTCTCCAGAATTTCCTCACTGCATCTCGGACTCAGACTCAGCTCCTGCCACTGGGTCAGTGCTGATGCCTGAGGAGCCTCCATCCAGTTCCCAAACCGGAAGTTGTACCACGAGGAGTAGCAGTGGATTAGAACTCCCAGCCTTTGGGTTAAGAGCACAGCTCACTGCAGACTAGGCCAGCAGAGCTTCTTTCCCAGCAGTCAGGGGAACGGGGGCTTTACCTGCAGGACTTTCACCATCCGGGACTTCAATGTCTTGGTGCATTCTTTAGACTTTCAAATTTCTAAAACTACAACTCATGGTAAGAAATATTTTTTTTTTACACTGAGACTTGGGACACACACACACACACACACACACAACTGGGAAAAGTGTCACAAAAGAATATTTCTCCTAACTGTGAGTGAGGTGTTGGTGGGTGATGGGAACAATTAAGCACTCCACTACTAACTACTGAAAGGTTGGCAGTTCGAACCCACCCAGAGGTGTCCAGCAAGACAGGCTGGTGATCTGTTTTACAAGCTCGCAGCCTTGAAGACCCTCTCGCTCAGTTCCACTCTGGCACCCAGGGGTCCCCACAAGTCAGAGTTGACTCAGTGGCAGCTAATAACAACAGCAAGTGAGGTGCACTGATTTTGTTCCTTTTGAAACAAAAATTAGTGTTGGTTTTAACTCACTAAAATGATATCAGAACCCAATAAAGAGTGAGTGGAGGGCGGCCCCCCAACTTGAAAAGCGCAGTCTGGATTTTCCAGTGTGTTTGTCTGCAGAGCAGGGAGCCTGGCCGACTTCAGGAAGAGCCGCTGTGGATCTGTCTGCTGTTTCCGCAGCTCATCCCACAGGGAGGCAAAGGGACCCCAGAGGACACTGAGCCAGGGTTAGGAGTTTAAAGAAAGGAACTTCAAATGAGGGACAAGATTTAAAGAGCTCTTGGAGTGGGTGCGAGGTTTCAGTTTTGGTTAAAAATTATTTCAAGAAGGGAGAAGCAGAGAAGATGGAAAGATGGCAAGATTGGACAAAGGATCAAAAAGGAAAGGAGAGAGTCCCAACCTAGCCTGGGGTCAGAGAAAGGAATAGGGAAGAGAGATGATTGAGAAGTGAGGGAGTAATGAATACAGGACGGGAGCAGAGACGGGAGAGAAGCTGGGGCAGATGGAGACAGAATCAGACCCAACTTAGCTATGGTTGTGGATCCGAGGGGTTCAGAGCTGTTGTACATCGTAGGCGACTCAATAACAATAATCACATACTGTGACAGATTTGGAAGCGGGAGTGGCATCCACTTCCTAAACAACATGCCTCCAGAAACTCAATGAACCTTGATAAATGTCCATAGTTGTAGAAGGACTTCAGGCCTTTTGTTCATAGGTTTGTGATGAGTCGATGAGTCGTGCTCTGCTCAAAGGCAATCAACAACAACAGCTAAGATTGCTATGGACTGAACACCTGCAGCAGGTGTTTGCACCTGCAAAGCGAGGATGCAAGAGCAGAAGGAACATTGAGAGATGTCCAAGAGCAGTGTGTGATGGTCCCTGGAAGGCCATCCGCAGCTCCAGATCCATTCACCAACAGGAATTGGATCATGTGAATGCATGTCTATAATGTAGAAGCTATGTCGCTATGAGTTGCAGGCGACTCGAAGGCACATAACAACAACATGTAATGATTCCCCTGTCATCTGATAAACCAAATCATTGCAGGAGGATTAAGAGGGGAATGCAGTGTTCTCAGATTCCATCACAGCCCTAATCAGAGGGAGGGGGAGTTTCCCCAGGGTGTGGCCTATCAGAGATAAAAGGAGAGGAAAGAGAGCAGGAAGAGAGGGCCTTAGCACGGGCCAGGAAATAATCATCAGGAGCAGAAGCGTCTTTGAACCTGGGACCCTGCACAATGAGGCTCTTTGACACCAGAGAAGGCCAAGAGGAACAGAGGTCTCCAGGGAACGCCAGACCCATAGACACTGAAGGAAACAGACTGACTCTCCTCACCACCACCAGAACTGGCCTTCCTCTACAGCAAGCACCCTACATGTGGAAGTCTAGCCCCCAGACTGCAAGATAATACATTTCTGTTTTTGTTAAAGCCACCCACTTGTTGGTATCTCTGTCATAGCTGTAGTCCTTAACTAAGACAATTGTAAAGTGGATTGCTGGTGATATGTCCTCTTGCCATATGAAAGGCACTGGGTGACAGAAGGCCTTGTTCAAGGTCTCCCTAGGTTTTATCCTCCTCCTCTTAAGTGGGATTAGAACCCAAAAGGCTCAAATGTTCATGTGTCAGCCTACTGCAAGGACCAAAAGGTGCTGGGCTCCTAGGCTGTTGTTATAAAATCTCGTCAGGGAGAGAAGTGCAACAATGAATGAATGGAAATCTAAAGTCTCTGTAAACTTTCATTAAAATCAATTTAAAATAAATAATTTTTAAAAATCTCGTCTTCTTTCAACACATCAGCGTTTGCCGGGCAAGGTGGCAAGATGGGCCATCTGACCAGGCTGTCTGACGGCGCCTCTGCTCCAGGGAGACCTGCCCTCTGACAGGCCCCCCAACGCCTGGGGAAGCAGAGCACAGCCTCAATCAGGGGGCCCTGCCTTTCTTGACCCACCTGGAAAACAGTCTTCCTCGTCCCAGGGGCACCCTCTCCCAGACCACAGGAAGACCCTGATCCAAAGACACAGGTTGGCTTGGCTTCAGGCATGGTAAACTTTTTAAGATTAATGACTAAATTACATTTATTCTTACATTTACTAAATTGCTAATTAAATTTAAATGCAAAATTAGTATGCAATTTAAACATTTTAAATGTTATTGTGGGAGAAGGATGGGCAATCTCTTCCCGTGTGATTATTGCCTCTCAAAACCCACTGGGGGGTCAGCAGTGGGCGGGTTCCATCTCAACAGTACTCAGCAGCAACAAAACTTTATTACTATGCTGTAACTTAAAAAATACAGCAGTCACTCTATCTTCTTTTGATGCTTCATGGATCATTCAATATTCTACCTTTAAAGCTTCAATTTGTTCTTCAGCTTCAATTTGTTCTTCAGTTCCTTCAGATTAAGAAATGCTGAGAAAATCCCTTTTGAGTGTCTGACTCAGCGCTTTGTATGTTTAGTTATAATACTTGGCTTTGACTTCCCAAGCCATCCTTTGAAATCTTCTGTTCAACTCCTTAACTTCCTGATTTCTTTCCTTTGTTTTGGCTTCTCAGCATTCTAGTGTAATATTCAGAGTCTCTTCTGACATCGTCTTGGTCTTTTCTTCCTCCTTTGTCTTTTTAATGACCTTTTGCAATTTGCATGGATGATACTCTTGATATCATCCCACAGCTTATCTGGTCTTCATTCACTAGTGCTCAAGGCCTCAGATCTGTTCTTGAGATGCTTTTTAAGTTCAGGTAGGACAGACGCAAGGTCTTAGCCTACTGTGTTTGAGTGTTGCCACTTGTGGCCTCATGGTCTGTCTCCCGGCATGTTCCTGGGCACTGCTGCCTCAGGTTAGACCTTGACACCAGCAGCCAGGAAACCAGAAGACAAGTTGCTTTAGGAAAGTCAGCTGTCAGGGACCTCTCCAGAGTACTAAGGAGCAACGATATCATCTAGAAACTAAGGTGTGCCTGATCCAGGCCATGATTTTCTCAATTGCTTGCTGGACAATGACTAAGGCTAACAGAAGAAGAATCTACGCCCTTGAGTGGTGGTGCTGGAGAAGAGGATTGAACATACCATGGACTACTAAGAGAACAGACAGATCAGTCCTAGAGAGGGTGAAACCAGTTTGCTCCTTGGAGGCAAGGATTCTGAAGCTCTGTCTCACACAGGTTGGGCACATGGCCATGAGGGACCAGTCCTTGGAGAAGGACATCAGGCTTGGAAGGGTGGAGGGACAATGCAGGAGAGGAAGGTCCTTGATAAGAGAAATTGACTGTGGTGATGGAGTACGTATGTTGGAGACAGATTGGCTCAGACAGTGAGTGGTAGTCACCTCCATAACACATAACAATAACATATAACAATGTTTTAAATGGTGAATTTTGAAAAGTATAATCCTTTTTTAAAAACAAACAAAATAACCACATGTTAACAGTGAGACAAAAAACAATGAAAAGAATAAAAATACTTTCACTTAGTCAATAGAACCTACTTATTTCGGAACAATCTGCTCTTCCACTCCTAGCTGTTTTCGGGGGAGGAGGCGCCTGCTTTTCCCAACCCCACATTGAACAGTTGCCTGTCCTTGGTCTGGGCCTTTCGGCTGTTTTGCTGTATTTCTGCGTGAATATCGACTTAAGCCAGTTACTCCCCTCTGCCCTGCTTCTCTGCTGTGTTTGCAGCCTCCTAAGCGAACACTGTTTTCTTTAGCATCGTGTGGTATCAGTCTCTTAGAATTTTCCACTTTCCTTACACTAGGAGAGGTCAAGAAGCTGAATGGAAAGAGCATGGCGTGGCCACCCGCAGAGCTGTATCTGAGCTTCTCTCTCCTTAAGACTCTTTCCCTCCCTCCCTCTCTCTCTCTCTCTCTGTGTGTGTGTGTGTGTGTGTGTGACCTCAGATAGGTCCCTCCAACCCTTCTGGGTCTCAATCTACGTAAAGAGAGAACTGGGTCAGAATGGGGATTACCAGTCTACTGGGATGTAGATGAGTGGAGAGTGACCCACGCAGGTTTAAGCAAAGCTGTGCATGCCTGGAAGGAGTTGAGTGAGGTGACACAGCCTCCAGTCATGTCTCCTCGTCCCCACCCA